AAGATTGTGTAATTTTGAGTGGATGTCTTGTGCTTCAAAGAGATTCTGCCTTCCCAGTTTCACCTCTCCAGATGTGCTAGGACTATAATATCCAGAATTTCCAAAAGTGCAGTTTTTGAAAGTCACTATATTGGATTGACTTAATTTTAAGATTGACTTAATATTTCTATATATGCAACAGAACTGTTATTTATTAACTGAGAACTGGGTTAAGAAGCATTATTGTAGCAGTTTAGGGACCTGAAATACTGTAAGAGTTAATTCCTATGTCCATGCTGCTTTCCTACAGATGCACTGCCTTAGATCGTTTGCCATCTCCATTTACACCTGCTATCCGGAACAAGTTGCCACCCATTAATTCAGACACCATTGATCAGTACCTTTCAGTTCCTGGACTACGCTTAAGCTTTGTAAGACATCTACATTATTTGTGCCATGGATGATTGAATACTTGTTTTCATATCTATCTTATTATAATTTAGGGTGTGCACATCAAATTAAAGAAAAACCTCAACTTAATTAAAATACAGTGTGATCGGGTATTGGATGAAGTTGCCAATAAAACTTTTAATCAAGTCTTTGCATAATCCCAAAATGTATACATCCACCCACACATGCATAGTTTCTTTCAGCTGTGAAACTTCCTTGAGTAGTCTTATACAATGTACTTTTCCTAATTGGGAAAATACGAAGTTTTTTTTCTCCGCAAAAGATCAAGTTGGTCCCTTCTCTTCCGTTTCACTTTAGCTGAATTAGCTAAATTTAAGATAGACCAGAACTCTGAAATAAGAACTGTATAATTAACTGTAACTTTGGAACTGGACATTATGGAAAGGTGGGAATTTGAAGAACGTGAAATTATAAAAAATATGCATAAATCATTAAAATCAAGTCTAAATAGAATTCTGAACTCAGAAAAGCAGAAACTGAAGGATGAAGTGAAGGAAGAAGGGGAAACGGATAATGAAGGGGTAGAAAAGGTGGGAAATAAAAAGCAGACAAAAATTTCATTGGGTTCGACAATGGTACAGGGAAAATTGAAAAGGAGGGATGTGTCCCAACAAAAGGAAATAAAAAACAGACAAAAGACCTTACAGAGGTTGACAGTGGCATAGGGAAAACTGAAGAAGGGGGTTAACCCCAACAAAGGGAACTATACAAGATTTCTTTGGGTTTGACAGTGGCTTGAGGAAAATTGTCAAAACAAAGAAAAGAGAGAAGACAGGAATAGAGAAGTGGGACAAAAGACTTATTAGGAAAAATCAGATTTACATCAGATTAGAAATTGTTTTATGGGGAAATATAAACCTGAGTTATGTGGTTTACTCCTAAACATGACAATAAAATCAAGTTGCTAACTATTTGAATACGATAATTGAAAGATAATTAAATAAAGGTTAAAACATATGAATATGGACAAATATGAAACTTATAGGGAAATTGTAAAGCAGAGGTCTGTGATTCACTTTTATATGTGATAATTAAATTGAGTTGCTAATTTATTGAATATGACAGTGGAAGGACAATTAAGAATGGGTTAAAATATACAAAACATGGACATATATAGAACAAAGTGAGATGTATACTGCTTGTTATTCTATATAATAGACTAAGGGAATTGTAATGAACATTGAACAGTAAGGATTTTTATTTAAAGACAATTAAGGGTAACCTATTCCAAAATATGGAAAAATGGAGAGGGAACATGAAATATACTTACAATGGGAAATTATTGAGATTTAAAGACAGAATCAGAAATTGGGGGCAATGTTATGAGAATAGCTGGGAATTGTAACCAGGTCTACATCTTGGCCAAAAATAGGCTGGGTTTTTTTTATATAAAAAAAACAATTATTATATATGTATACTTTTTTCTTTAAAAAAAAGGAGGAGGAAGATATATGTTAAATTAAATATGTATATTGAAAAGGAATTATAAATACCATCAACATCAAATGGAGCTTGCTCAGAAGCTGAAATACACCAAGTAAATGAGATGAAGAGTGTGAAATAGAGGAGGGAGGTTAGGGGAAGAAGAGAGGGATAGGAGAGAGGGTAGGGGGGAAGAGGGCGAGAGAAAGGAGGAGTGGAAAGGGGAGAGAGGAGAAGGAGAGAGGGAGGGGAAGTAGATAAGAGAAGGATGACAAAGGAGAGAAAGGAGGTAGGGCGAGGAGGACAGAGGGAAAAGAAAGTGACGGATAAGGTACAAATATGGTATATGAGAGTAGAACCAATAATTGTTTAATTGTTTTTGGGAGTTGGTGGTAAGACAAATTGATATAAACATTTAATAATATAATATGATGTTGGCTATGTAATAATATACATGTGGTTATATGTTATGAAAATGAAAAAAACTATTAAAGAAGGATGAGTTATGTGAAATAACGTATAATTTAGCAGATTGTGTTTGTTTTTAGAAGTTTTAAGTTGTGAACATTAGCATGAATTTTGCTTTTTCAGCTTGCTTAGTTTTATTATTTCTGTTACATTAACACTCATTTTCTTGCTTTGAAAATTTACATAATAATCCAATACATTTTGTATTAAAACATGATTACAAAATATTGGAGTGCACCTTAAACTAAGTACTGGTAGTTATGAAATCCAAAAGGTTGATTGTAGTCTAATCAGATTAAAAGTTATTTTACTCTCATGAACTGTACATTCAGATAAAATGCAGACTATGGGATCTAAGTTCTCTTTCCAGTCTGGTTTTCTGATCGAGAAGGTATAAAGGACAAGACTTGGGGCCGCAATTGAAAGTACATTGAAGATTTTTGTGTTAGCAAAGGGTGGTAAAACTGAGTAGATTATTCAACTCCAAATAGCTGCATTTTAACTGTATTTGTAACACTATTCCTTTGGCAAAAAAAAACCCCTATGTTAATGTTACCATTAAAACAGTGAGACGTCCTTCCCATACATAACAATTCCATATTTTTGATATGGAATATCTAAATATTTAATTATCAGGAATTTAGTATGCTTCATTTACACAGCCCTTGTGTATACCATTCTTTATACCATTCTTTAAACATAGTAATCTTTTCTAGTCTTCAGCGGGCCCCTTTGCAATTAAAGTTTTCTCTGTTCCTGCTAAAACATGTTATCTTCATCTGAAGCTCCTTTGAAAAAGTCTTAAGTAGGTAATTTTAGAACTGCATGCCTAAGTGTTTCAGAAGCTGGTTAAAATTAGTCATTTGTGAGGAGGCAATAAAAAGTCAATTGAAAAGCAGTTAAATTGACTACCAGGAAGAAGGATATAACCAGCTTCATTAGAATATACATAGCCAGACTTTATTCTATGAAGTTCAAATTGTCTCTTGAGAATTTTGCTCACCAATCAGCAGTTTTAGGTGACTATATACACTGCATTAGCTTTTAGAACTACTTGAGCCCTGGTGCAGGGTAGTATTGCAAGAAGGGATACCATATATAGAATCTATCAATCATTTATTTATCAACCAATCAAAGTTATAACTGCACTGAAAAAAGGAACAACTGATCCTCACATTTACAACTGTAGAAGCATCCCCGCAATCAAATTCAGATGCTTGGCAATGTGTTGCAGTGTCCTGGGGTCATGTGATAATCATTTGCATTAATTTCCCGCTGGCTTCCAACAAGCAAAGTCAATGGGAGGATCTGGTTTCCTTAACAACTGTATGATTCACTTAACGACTGTCACAGAAATGATAAAATCAGGCATAACTCATTTAAAAATCACCTTGCTTAGCAATGCAAATTCTGCTCCCAGTTGTGGTCATTTCGAGGACTACCTACACAGACATATTATTCCTTAAGCTTTCAAGGAAAGAGATGTGCAGATGATATATAATGTCACAGCCTCAGGTACAATAATTGTATTTACTTCAACTGCTATAATAACATTTTTTAAAAATTCTACCCATTAACTGGTTGCTTCTTTCATCTTTCCATTTTCAGCATAGAGGAAAACAACTTCACAGCAGAATATCCAGTGCAGTACCTCATGGTCTGGAACGACGACCTCATAGAGAGAGAACTGTCTTAATAGATCAGTTTTCAAGGCCCAACACAACTCATACCTTCCGGGTACGTTTGAAAACTTGTAAACATGGGATGAGAATCAAGTTTGCAGTTAAAGCATCAGGTTGGAAACTGGGAGTTCAGGCCTCATTTTAGGCACAAAGCCAGGTTCATGACCTTGGACCAGTCATTCTCTAATAGTCCCGGGAAGCAGACAATGGCATTGTCAGTGTTCCAAACACCATCCAGAATTAAATCAGAGTCCAAGGCAGAGCTTTCCTCAATTTAATAAGAGAGACATGTTGGCACATCTGTGGAAAACCCAAATCTGAAAGCTTCCTGTTGAAAATTCATGATCTTACCCCCACACACACAAGTCCATCACATGGTCCAATCTTCCACTGCTACACTGGCATTTCCACCCATCTAGTTCCNGCTCGTTTTTGCCCCCCCTCTCCCCCCGGAGCACCCTGCAAGCCCCCTAAAGGCTATTCGTGCCTTTTGGGGGGGGGGAAACAGGCCTGTTTTCACGAAAAATGGGATGTTTTTGAGAGGTTTCAAACCTTGGTGCGTCTTATACTCCGAAAAATACAGTATCTAAGTGAACTAAGGAACCATAATATAATAAAATTAATGCTGGCAGCATCTTCTAAGATTTTAGCCTCCAAATTGTCATAGCTCGTGCACTGAGAAATGTATAAGATACTGTCATTACAAATGGGTTTGTTGAAGATGCTGTTAAATGCAGCCATTTTAATTTTTTCCCATATTTATTCCTCACATCATAACTCATTTCTACCCACTACATTGCTACAAATGTGCAGTTACTAAAATTTCTCCATTCATTTTTTCATTTTTTGTAAACATTCTACCAAGAAACATAAATACATATTCTTGCTTATATTTTGCCATTTATGTACAACTGGCAATTGTTCATTCCAAGTTCCTTGTCAGATATATCTGCTGGAGTCAGATACACTGATTTTCAAATGCATTCTCCTCATCGTGTCATAAAATCATCTCTAATGTTTGCTACAAATCATTCAGGTTCTCTGTCAACAACATGGCATACAATGGTACACACACACACTCGTGTCTCCATCTCTAACAACACAAGAAGCTTTTCTTTATACCATACATTTATTCCAAGACATCACCTATCCTTTTCTTAATCCATGTGCAGTGTTGAACCATTTGTTAAACATTCCATCCATTCTCATACATACTTTATTTCTATCATATGCTACTCTTACTGCACTTAGGAATCAACTTTCAACTTTCTTTATTTGGGCAAAGAATTCCTGTGGTTAGAATGCGGCATTGCAGGCTAATTCTGCTGACTGCCAGTGGTTAGATCCTCACCAGCTCAAGGTTGACTCAGCCTTCTATCCTTCCGAGGTCGGTAAAATTAGGACCCAGATTGTTGGGGAAAATATGCTGACTCTGTAAACTGCTTAGAGGGGGCTGTAAAACACTGTGGAACAGCTTATAAATCTAAGAGTTATTACTATTGCTATTATAAGCAGTTCAGTTATGTTTATTATACATTCACAAAATCAACAAATGCATAATAAAGTTTCTTTTTCATAGTCATATATTTACCAATGCATTGATTATGACAATTAAAACAAAGATATATATTTAAAATTAGAATGATTAGAAAAATGAAAAAGATCATTATTTGGCACCAGAATGACTGCAGTGCTGTATCAAGTTACAAGACCCTTGCACCCCTAACACTTTAGAAAAAAAAACCCAGGGGTGTTCAAACTTGACAGCTTTAAGACTTGTGGACTTCAACTCCCAGAATTCCTCCTCTAGTCATGTTGGCTCAGGAACTCTGGCATTGAAGTATGCAAGTCTTAAAGCTGTAAAGTTGCAAGATCCTTGCACCCCTAACCCTTTAGTAAAAAAACCCAGAGTTGTTCAAACTTGACAGCTTTAAGACTTTAAGGTTTAGATAGGACTCTTAGAGGTGGGCGGGCAATTGGTGAGCCAGCCAATCAGTGAGCGGCAGGCAGGGCAAGCGTGGTGCGGACGGGCTGTGGAAGGAAGCTGGAACCGGTTCTAAATGGCATGGTAGATTTGTGGAACCTCTTCTATAGAAGAGGTTAGAACTGGCAGGAACTCACCCCTGCTGGGGAGGATACCCCCACTTCCATTCAGCTGTTGAAAAAGCTCTTGTTCATTAATCACAATTCATTGGTCAAAGAAGACAACATTTTTTGTGACTCATTTCTTCTTGTTTTAGGTGGAAGAAGCTGATGATTGGCTGCGCTATGGCAATCCTTGGGAAAAAGCCCGCCCTGAATACATGCTTCCTGTACATTTCTATGGTCGAGTAGATCATACCCCTAATGGGGTTAAATGGGTTGATACTCAGGTATAGCTTTTAAAGTTACATATGTGAAGCCATTAATTACAAGGGCAAAATAGCCAAAAGGGATATATTATATGGTAGCAGTCTTGGATTTGGAGATTTTGGCAATAGCAATTAATATTTGTCTACCTGTCCTCCATGTTACAAGGATAATCAACCAGTAGAACTTTCCCAGTTTGCTGGATTACCATTCACATTGAAGGGTTGGGTGAAAATAGCCATTTAGTAGAGTAATGATAGAGGAAGCATCAAAAAAAGCAGAGGTAAGAACAATAAATGCTGCCTGGATAGCTTTGCCAACAAAGAATGTTTCAAGGATGCAGTTTGAATTATTCTAGTTTTTAAGTTAATTTCATTCTAAATCAGTTGGGAATCAGAGAGAATCGGTTTTGAGTCAAATTTAATTGTAGTTGTATATGAATGCTTGCAGAAACGTATGAATTGTTTCATCAATTCATTGTATAGCTTGATTCAAATCAGATCAAATTCCATGCAATTGATGCAGAGATTTTATTTTATTTACTGCCATTATCTGGTACCTTCCAGATATGTTGAGAATACCACCCCCATAATCCCCGAGGAGTATAGGCAACATGTAAGAACATCAAATTAGTAAAGCTGTGTTTTGGTCACTAACCTGAAAAAAGAAAAAAAAATGAGAAAAACCCTGTTATGCAAGTAGAAGAACAATGGACTCAGTACACTGCAAACACCTTTGTAAAGGTGTGTGAAAACACCATGACATGGCAAGGAATGGGAGCTGATTCGAGATTACAAGCCTTTAATTATCCAAATGTTTGGATAATTCTTCAATTCTAAAAAGAACAGATTCTCTCTTATTTTTTCTGAATGCCAAGTGAGTTCTAAAGGCAGAATATCCTATGGCACTTTAGAAACAAATGGATTTGTTGCAGCATGAGCTTTTGCAAACATGAGGAGCCTTCAGAGCAATTTAAAAGATGGGCTTCTGTGCTTGCAAACCTTATTTGGACCTGTTATGGCTGCAGCCTCTCTTATGTTTTCCACATAGACAAATGGACCATGGTGTTCCACCTTTGTTGCTGAGCAGCATATAATTGGTTTAAACAGCAGTGCTCCTTAAAGAGATTGACTAAACAAATGACTAGAGAGACATTAGAAACTGAAATTTGGTGCCATTTTTCAACTGTTTAGGAATACACGATTTTCCATAGGTACAGTACTTGTAATTATTTGGTGTTTGATTTTTCACTTGTTAGGAGATACATGATTAGGCCATAAACTTCCCATGGGTGTTTAGTCTTTTTTTAAAATCAAGTCATTTGTAGAATGCTGGCAGCCTCATGCTATCATGAAGTAGATCAGAATTGGACAAAACAACTTGTCAAGCATGTGTCAGTCAGGACTAGATCCTGATTTCAATAGTGTTCCACAGTTATTTAATTGTGTATTACAAATAGTTTTATGCCACTTGAGTCTAAAAAATTACCACATGTGGCTTAAGTGCATATGAAGAACCTGGTTGGATCAAGCCAGCAAACCACCATTCTGTATCACACAGATAAGCTTTGGTTAAAACATAAATCAAAACATGTCCTGGAATCATGCTATATTAAAATATGGTTTGTTCTATTCTGGCTTAATGTGCTATATGAATTTAAATATTTAAGCTTTATTCAATAATAAAGTAATATATGGAATAATACCTAATGTTTGCTAACTAAAGAGCTGCACTGGGCTTATGACACTTTTTGAAAGCCATACTCTTAAAAGGGGCTGAGGGCACAAATTTATTTTTTAATTGCATCTTATACTAATTTTTGTTTTTACTTATTTTTTTCTTTTTTCTTTTGAATTTCTTTATACTTTATTTTTTATAGTTAACATTATTCCTTTATATTCTAATATTTGTTCTTAAATTGTATTACAAATCTTAGAAGAAATTATGATGACTACACTAAAAAAAGAAGCTGCCACTTCAAAACTTTTCTACTGATGCAAAAGCCAAGCAACTTTTTTGTTTGCTTTGGAACAAATGAAAGAAGCAGCTTGCTTCTTCGTTCCAACCCAGAAAAAAGGACGTGGTTTCGTTTTTACAAAAAGTAAGGTAGAAGAGACTGTAAAACCATAGTTTTGGTCTCGTGGTCCCCATTAAAGAAAAAAAAACATGTTTTTTCCCGTTTGAAAGGAACAAAGAACCTGCAGCCTATAAGTAAGCGAATAAGTGAGCATATCACAGGGAGTCTGGGGAAAAACAGTGAAAGCAGGTCAGTGAAGTTTTGTGGGTGTGTGTGTGTGTGTGTGCATGCGTATGCATTTTGTTTGTGCATGCTGGTTAGATTGATTGGGCAGAGGGTAGAGAGAGTTGCAAGTGGCAGTTGGAGGAGAATGAATAGACTGGAAAGAATCAGACCTGGTTGGCAGGAAAGGCTGGCTTTTCCATGTCAAAAGGAATTTGGAGTAGCCAAGAAAGAGGACATTAACAGGGAGAGCTGTATGAAAAAGCACAAAAAACAATTGGGCACAATGGAAAGAAGAAAGAGTGGGTGGGTAGGAAAGATGACCCAGACAGAGGGCAGCATTTAGGGTGGGTCATAGAGCAGATGGGAAATGCAACCCTAGATGGAGAGAGGAGGACAGAGAATGGGGTGGAGGGATCTGGGGTTTGCGTTGTAGCTTACTCTGATCCTTTGGAGTAGCCCTAAATTAGTGTATTGCATGAAACCTAGTCGCGGTTTTGTTCTTTATGTTGTTTTGCTTGCAAAGACATTCCTCAGGAGATAATGGAGACCATGAGAGAGGAAAGTTAAGGTTGCTAAACTGCCAAGAGTGGAGAGAATTACACAATTAAGTTCACTTCCAGCCCCTTCAAAGAACAGTCTTCTCTGAAAGCTTCATTTAATAACATCTGTGACTGAGTGCCAAGTTCCTTTGCAGGTTAAAGAACATCAGATCCTTCTTTGTTCTGTCAAATGCTTGCCTAACAAGACCTGCGGAGCCCCAGTACTGAATTTCCTTAAATGCCAAGTTAAAGAAAGGCATGAATTATCTTCTTTTCTCCTCTGCTTTTTCTATTGGGAATGCTTTACTTTTGAGGATACAAAAGTCTAGTTTGCTGTTTAATATCTGTTGTTGTTTTTTTAATTTGTCTCATGTTATTATTTGCAATATATTAAGCTAGCCTGTCTAGAATTGTAAATCACATATTTTAAAAAACAAAATGAGCAAGGTACACTTGAGTGAACAATTGCAGTGCCCTTTATCTACAGGTTATTATCATTTTTATGTCACTGTGTTAGCCCATCTTTATTTAATCTCTTGCTCCACATTAGGTTATTCTTGCCATGCCTTATGATACCCCAGTTCCTGGATACAAGAACAATACAGTTAATACCATGAGACTGTGGTCAGCCAAGGCACCCAATGATTTCAACCTCGAAGAATGTACGTACTCTTAATAATGAATAAAGTTCTTCCAGTATTTCTTTATTGCATTATTTATTTAAATTCAAATTTGCCCTGTTTGTTCCTTATATTTTGAGCATTAGTGTATAGGCATCTAAGTCTTTATGACTGATCGTGCATATTTTTCCCCTCTGTCTCCTGTTTTATATCTGAGTTCCCCTTCTTTCTCATCAGTACCTATCTCATTGTTCGATTGGTTCTCTTGGGGTTTATGTTTGGGATTGGGTCCTAACGATTGGTTTCCCTACCCTTCGAATTTTAGTTTAAAACCCTTTAGAGCTCTTTAGATAATCTGAGCCAGTTATTTTCCAAACACAATCTTCCTAGTTCTTGTTATGCAGCCAATCCCCTTCCAGAAGCCCTTCATGTAGGTAATGTAGACCATGATCTAGGAGTCCAAATTTCGCTCAGTGGCATCATCCCTCAAGCCAGTAGTTTAAAATTCTCCTAAAATTCTAAAATTCTCCATTCTCTCATTGGTTGTTGACCTTATGTTGGAAGTACAGAAGAAAATAACTCTCTGTGCTCCTACTTCTTTTGTTTTCATGCCTAGCTGCTCATAGTCTTTTGTTATTTCAGGTTCTTTGTTGAATCATTTGTCTCCACATGAAACAGGAGAAAAGGATAATCAATGGCCTTGATTGTGGCTTGATTACTTCCAACTCTGTTATTCGTTGTTATTCTAGTCTATGTTAAAGTTTTTCATACCTACACATTACCTGTTTAGAATCTAAGCATGTAGAAAAGAAAGTCTCTGTATATTTTCTAAGTATGTTCAACCCAGATCATAACCTCTTCTCTTCAGTATCTGCTATACAAAAGGAAATGTTAATAGAACATATAGTTGGGGCTAGTTTTATCTATTTCTATAGAAATATTTCTATTCTATAGAAATAGAACATATGTATGCATATGCAAAAGTATTTTTATCTCAACTGAAGTCATGGAAAAAAACAAAAAGACAAATCTGGCAAATAAGAGGCTCATGATTCTTTGTCCCTTGATAAAAATCCGCTTCCCAATTCTGTTATCCACAAAAGAACGGAAGCTAGTTATTGCCACTAAAAGCAGTTTCTTTTCTACAGCAGGGTGGTTTGGAGAGGGATAATTTAAAAGGGGCAATGAAGGCAGAAGCATTAAACTCCAGTCATCATGGCTCAAATTTCTGCTCCTAGCTCCTACTTAAGAAAAAAATATTACACATCCAGTAAATTAATAAAACGTGTGCAAAGCAACCATTTGGTAGCTGGTATTCCTATTTATTCCCCTGAGAACACATCAAAGTAGATAAACACAATGAAGAAAGCTTCATTTAACCTCTGGAACGAAGCCACACTAATTACTTGATGTACTGAAAACATCCAGAAAGTCTTTTACACACTTCCTTAGAAATGTACAATCGATTATTTTTTCCAAAATAAAAAAGATGGTGACATCCAATTCCAGAGTAAGACTCTTGAGACCTAGACAGACAGTTGAGCAAAGAATCCATACATTTATTTCGCATTCAAAATAAATGTAAATAAATTTCCTGTTGAATTTGAGTTACAAGTTGAAACTTTTAAAAATCTCACTGAATAAAGGTAAAGGTTTAGGAGAAGTTATGAAATGAATGCTGTGTAGTGATAAACACATACAGCTCTTGAAGTATTCCATTTCATTGATGTAACTACTCTGAGATATATCTTCATTCTCTTCCATAGTTAATGTTGGTGATTATATCCAAGCTGTGTTGGATAGAAACCTAGCAGAAAACATATCCAGAGTGTTGTACCCTAATGATAATGTAAGTATCTGCTGCATCGTGCCATGTAAGTGCAGTTTAAGTGCTTCGTTAAATCTCTTTTGGCCACAAGTGAATTGTGGATTTTATTTGGCTGCTTTTCTGCTGTCTTAGAAAAACTATTTGTTTCTGTGTTTTGTGTGGGAGCCACCAGTTTCCACTTCTCTGATGAACTTCTCACCATCTTCAAGAAGCCACTCCTGGTGGAAGGAGACATACGGAGACTATAGTAGGAGAGTCAAACTTACGAAAATTACGTGAAAGGCACAAGTGATATCTGGCTTGCATGCATTTACTCAGTATAATTTTTCTTAGTTCCATCTTTCTGCATTCCCTCTTCTGTTGTTCTTAATAAATCTCTGTTCAGGACCAGCACAATACACATACCACTTTGTAGTAACCGTTTCCTCTGCTCAGATAGTATTTTTACCTGACTATACTCAGTTCAAGGTCACTGGATATACAATGCAGGGAGAATTAAGTGTCCTTAAAGTCCCATTTATTTTCAGAAGAAATTAAGAGTGTTTCCATGTTCTTAAGATCAGTGCTGATCCACAAATGTGCATGTGAATGTTTGTCGTCTGTAAAAACTTATTAAAAGAAGGATGCCTATTATATAAAATATGGACCTGAGATAGGGAAACCACTGAAGATTAAACCTGATTGGCAAAGTCCATCTCATTGCTTTCTTTCACCCTGGAAAGGAGCTTGATTTTTACAATCCCTACGATCAGATCATTGCCATTATTAGCCTATTTTCTTTTGGTATCTTCATTGTGCTGCTTCTGACATAGACTAATATAACCCCCTTTTCCCCACTGTGTTCCTAAGTTTTTTGAAGGAAAGGAATTGCGTCTGAAGCAGGAGTACTTTGTGGTAGCTGCCACTCTCCAGGACATCATACGACGATTCAAGTCTTCCAAATTTGGATGCCGTGACCCAGTGAGGACCTGTTTTGAAACCTTCCCAGACAAGGTGAACCTTTTACATGAAGGCTTGTACAAATCTTGAAATAAATCATTTTAATTTTAAAGAATACCTTTATCTCTTTCTCTTAGACTTTGGCAGTCTTTTGATATTAAGAAAAATAAAACCAGAATGTTGCTTAATACTAGAATATCCTGAAGTCCTGTTGGACTGATCTTTATAGTACTATTAGTGGTGTTCATAGAATTATGCCATTATTTTTGTTGTTATTTAATACCATGATGTTTACATGGTTTAGGGACAAGAAATTATTGATAAATTCTAAATTACCAAACACTTCCAAAAAAATTTATGGATTTAATCAGATTTTATAAATTTCACCAATCATCTTTGTCTTGGACCTTGTAAGTTGAATATCATGAATAATGAAGGGCTTTGAAACTCTGCAATGCAGTATCAAATTCACAAAACACAAATTCAGCAATAAGCACCAGTAATGAAAATTGGATAACATATTTTACCTATTTTAATTTTCATCTTCCTGCAAATTGCATAATTGGATGAGGATTCAGGTTTACTTTTCAAAAGAAAATTGTGCGTGCCATTTTAGTATATTATTATTTTTTCCTGCTGTGACAACTTGGAAAGAATAGTTAAGATCTTTAGAAAAGTGAATTGATATGGTTGCACAAGAGTAGGAAAAAAAGGACAGACCGGGAATCCGGCAGATTATGTTCTTGGAATGAATGAACAATTGAAAAAAACTTTCTAAGTAGCAGCCTAAATACTTATTTAGCATATTTTCTGATGCTTTACTTTTAATCAGGATTAAAAGTTTATTTTTTAAAACTTGATTAAATATCAAATCCAAGACATGGCCACTGCCCAGATTATGTATGACTAAACCCTGTAGTTCCCCCAGAGTCCTTAATATTTTTTTTATTTTTTATATCTAAGAATTGAAATTTAGAGTAGCTGGTCTGGGGTCACCAAGTAGCCATAAGCATAAAATGAAACCAGATTTTCCATTGTGCTCCATGGACTCACTGGACTTTTTTGGATGGAAATAATGGAGATGTTCATATTAAGGTTTATGTTGTCCATTTTACAGGTTGCCATTCAGCTAAATGACACTCACCCAGCGCTTTCCATTCCTGAGCTCATGAGAATCTTTGTTGATGTTGAACAGATGGAGTGGGATAAGGTAAGAGTTGAGTGGAGGCAGGAAAGAAACAGCTTTTGATCCCCTACAAGTTTTTTTTTCAGAAACTGCCAGCGGATTCTCCTTCTTCAACTTGATTTACTTCAGATATCATGGGATTGCATTTTCCAGAATTTCTAGCCAGGATGGTGAGAAGCTAGATTCTTAAGTTACTGATGATGCAATAGTTATTGGTCTCATTTGAGATGGCGATGAGTCTGCATGTAGACGGGACATTGAACAATTGGCCTTGTGGTGCAGCCGGAAAAATCTGGAGCTGAACATGCTTAAAACTGTAGAGATGAGAGTGGATTTTAGGAGGAATTTTACTATTCTACCACCTCTTACTATACTAGAAACACAGGTATGAACAGTAGAGGTCTTCAAGTTTCTGGGTTCTATAATATTCCAGAGTTTGAAATGGACACCTGTAGCATTAGAACCATCAGCGTCAACTCAGAAAATTCAGACTGCTCCAGGAGTTGTTAACACAGTTCTACAATGGAATTATTGAGTCTGTCATTTGTGCTTCTACAACTGTCTGGTTTGGTGCAGCAACCAAACAGAACAGACTTCAGCGGATAGTAAGGAAAGCAGAAAAAATAATTGCAACCAGCCTGCCTTCCATTGAGGACCTGAATATTACATGGGTCAGAGAGTGGGCTAAGAAACTATCTACAGACCTCTCACATTCTGGACATAAAGTGTTTCAACTCCTTCCCTTGGGATACCTCTACAGGGCATTGCATTCTAAAACAACTAGACACAGAGACAGGTTTTGTTTCTGTATGCGATGATTGAGGTACTCCTATAACACATCAAGCTCTCTACTTAGCTCTAGTACCATCACCAATTGAATTTCAATTTCATGAATGTGTGCTTTTTTCATTAATAACAAGGCTGCAACTGATAAGTTACAACTCAGCACCAGTGTAATCTCCATGGCAAATATCAGAAATTAATGCTATTTGAAGTTACGACCATTTATTTTCAGCCCATAGAATTTGCTTCTACTCACACTAATTCATTTGTCTCCTTGGTTCTAGGCCTGGGAAATCACAAAACGAACCTGTGCATACACCAATCATACAGTGCTGCCTGAGGCCCTGGAGCGCTGGCCGGTGTCTATGTTTGAGAAGCTCCTGCCCAGGCATCTGGAGATCATTTACATTATCAACCAAAAGCATTTGGATGTAAGTCATCTAAATGAGAAAAAAAAGGACTTGGGAGAGGCAGAGAGAGGATACCAGAGGTTAGCAATCTCACACAGCGGCCCAGAGAAAGGAAGGGAAGGCTCAAGATACTGCAAAGTCCTAGTGCTCTCATAAGATTTCACTAACCTCATGTGAAGTCATTAAAATCTTCAGACTTGAAAGAATTTGGCCATTTTAAAAGTATTTTTTTTTCATTTTGTGTGGTTTTGAACATTATTTTGCTGGTAGATACTTAAAGTATGTGATCCTATGTGGCTAGCATCAAATGAAGCTCACAGATATATCTAATGGCAAACCAGAAGAGACTTAATTTGTGTCTTGTAGTTGAATGAAAACATACATCAGACATACCAGTTTTATTGAATTTGTTTAGCTATCTTTTTTATGCCATGTTGTGCATTCTCTGGCCACCTTGCTGCATAGCAAAGAGCCAGTATTTAGCTCTAGCAAGTGGACATAATAATAGCATGGGAAGAATCAATCGTATTTGGACTTCAGATTCTTGTGATCTTGTAACAATCAGTAAAACAACATCAGTCATCCATCTGCTACCTTCATATTTCTTGTGTTACAGTGTCCACAATTCACTGATGCTGATAGTACTCTGGAAAGCAGCAGTGCACGTAGCCCTGCCAAAAATGTCAGGCTTAGAAGCTGATGAGTTGATCATGTAAATCACAGGTGGGTTGCTACCGGTTTGCATCGGTTCGGGTGAACTGGTAGTGGATTTTGGCCTAGATCGCCCAAACCAGCAACGACCCAGGCTGACCACACACCCCCGAACCGGTTACCCCATCTCTGCTGCTGTTGCGGCAAGGTTTTTATTACTTTTTAATGATTCTTGCGCATGCACAGAACAATTTGAATTGAACTGTGCATGCGCAAGA